TCAGTAAGCTCTGACATGACTCCGTATTACTAGCAGCACACACAGTGAATGACAAAAGTGAGGCTTCCCACCTATTAGCTAGGTGTCTCATCACACAGCAGAAGCAAAAGAATGTTACATCACTTCCGATTTTAACGGGAAACAGTTGTTCATTTCACACCTGCAAATCATGTAGTGTTTCTATATTTTTGTCCAACCCCCTGTACATCTGTATATACCAGACACAGCAAAAAGACAAACACACAACAGTTCCACAATCAGTTTATATCAAACTAAGTAAAGTGTTCTCATATTGAGCAATTATCAACAAAATAAGTAATAACAAAAATTCTCAATTCGCAGAGGGTGACTAATTAAACCTTAACATTTCTAACATAAAAGGTGAGTTCGCAGGTGCATCCCTAAATATAGAACCAATTCACAAAGCCATTACTTACCACAATGCTCGTTATTTTCATCAAAGAGAACTGACATGAGCTGTAATACATTGTGAGATGCACTGACCTCTCTGTGGCACAGCGATAGTAGCGTAGTGATGCGCATAAATGAAATTTGCCATTGAGTAGTGACAAGTTAAATTGAAGCAACCAATGTAAAGAGTAATTGAAGGCCATTTGTTGATAGAACTATATGTGCTCCTAGTTTGTTGTATAGATGCAACAAGCCCAAGCCGCAGTTTTGCTTTTTTTGATCCTTCTGTTCCAGACTGTTTGGATATATTCTGTACTGAAATAAAGAGGAAGACACAAAGGAAGAAAACACAGAAACTCATAGCGCTGAATATGAATAGCAGATCTGCAAAGTGAAACACATCTTGTACCCTTAGCCTGCTCTAACTGCCCTCAACCTTAAAGCAGAACTTTACCCATAACAACTTGATAAAAAAAGAATGTTCTTTAGCAAGAAACATACATTCCACATGAATAATTATGCTACCAAAATTACTGTGCGCTGTAAATTGCCTCCAAGATTGTTTCTGCTTCTTCTTGCTGGAGGCTGCCATTTTGTTGAAACCCCTGAGTAGCAGTAAATCTTTATGCTGTCAGCAGATCAGCTTCTACAATTTCAGCACAGTCCCAAAAAAAAATGAGAAGCTGGGCATGTGCAGAGCAGGGTGAGACAATATATTAGAAGATTTTATACAGTATAGGCACATATTTTTAATGTTTTACTTAGCTATACCAGCAAAAGGAGCCAGCCTGAAGTGGTCTTGCAGGACCCCATTTTCTGAATTAAGTTCTACTTTAAAGTTTAACTATGGTCATAACTGAAAATTATATATATGATGCAATCTCTCAGTAGCATTACCACAGCAGTCTTTGTTTTTCTGGGTCTCCCTGTAACATAGTTTATCACCTGGTGATCTGACCAGTAAGTCTGTTGTTTTTTCAATTTTCTTTAACAGACTAAGGCTGGCCATACATTATACAATTTTCTTGAGATTTTTGGTTTAGATTTACCACAAACCATATAATAGGAGGTCAAAACTAACAACACTTTCAATTGTATCCAATTAGATAGGCTCTTGCACTACATAGTTGAAGATAAATCTAAAGGAATATTGGCAGAAATTAGATAGAAAATTGTATAGTGTATGGCCAGCCTAAGCTGTCCAGCAAAAGTGGCAGTTAAAGCAGAACTAAAAACACTTCTATCGTTTTCAGCCAATCAAGCGGCCATCTTAGCCTCTGTTTGATCTTCAACTGTCATGGTGCTGCACACGTGATCAGTTATGACACCAACCATTTGATGGTTTGACAGTTTGGTTGAGAGCACAACCAAATGTGTCCGTTAGCATTCACAACTTGCCAGGAATGTAACTGTTTTTTAAACTGTTTAATCAATAGGTTTAGTTCCGCTTTAAAAGGGTAGATACAAATCATTTAAAGCACAACTAAACCCATCATTTTAAAGTGGTTATAAACCCTTACATATACCCAGTGAAGTGACTGGCCTCAGATGATACATATGAATGAAACAAATCCTCCTACATAAGTTGTACCTGTTTTTCCAAAGCCTTCTTTTCTCTGCATCAGTTCAAAGTTCAGAATTTATACAGCTTGTCATAGCTGTCAGGAAAAAAAGGGTGGAGAGCTGAAGTTACACTCTGCAGAGTTCAGTGAGGATAGCTCTGAGAGCTGATTGGAGGGAAGGAACACACACCCCTTCACGCAGCACACAGGAACAGAACTGAGGCTGTCAATCAGCAGGAGATCTCTCCCCTATTACCTTTTCGCTCTTGGTGTCAGGGAAACTTGTCAGACGGGACTCAAGCTGATAGCAGAGGAACAAAGCAGCTGACAGAAAGGAAGTTAGTGCTCTTAACAAGTACACACCATAGAGGGATATGCTTTGTTCATATTTCATGTCTGAGGTTTACAACCACTTTAACTGTTTCCCAAAACCTTCAAGGCATGCGATGAATGATAACTGTCACAAGTGCTTGTGCTGTCAGCTGAACTGTCAATCCATCAAATGACTGGTGTCATAACTGGTCACATGTGCAGCATCATGGCAACTACAGATTACACAAAGGCTAAGATGGCAGCTTCTTTGGCTGTAAAGGCTTTGGTTTCAACTTTAACACTGACAGGGATACTTACAATGGTCAACCTTTTTTTCGTTTATCCCAAAAGAGAATAAAAGTTTATCTAAATATGTTAGTCCATCTATCACTACCCTCTCCACTGATGGACAATGCTGCTGTCCAAGGGTGGCTAAGTTGCTCCAGTGGAGGAGTGAATGTAGCCCCCCTAAGACGAGAGCTGTTGGCCGATCATCAGGTGAAAATTTGGAAAAAAGGAAAACAAATGCAGCCATCACATCCAATGATTTGTAAGCTACAGTAAATAAAATGTTTGTTTTTGGGTTTAGTTACACTTTAAAATGAACCTGTTCTTTGCCCATGGAGGGCAAAGTCACAGGTTACTTTAATACAGCCCTCCCCAGAAGAATATAGTTGCCTTCCTTTCATTGCCCTGCTACTCTGTTCAACCTCTAGGAGAAAAAAGGAGCTACAAGTCACAAGTCAGGCACAAGTCTATGGACTCTTGTATGAATGCACTGATTGGCCCAGAGCAGGAGAGCAAAGGAAAGGTAGTATTTGATATTAGAAAGGTAGGAACAAAGCAAACCTGTTGCTTCACCCTGAAAGGGTAACACTCAGATTTGCTTTAAATAATGGGTTGTTCTTGGTGGAGGTATTCCAAGTGCTAAGCATCAGACATCATGAATGCACAAAGAGTAAAGTTTCTTCAGATTCTCATTTTAAATAACAAAGACCTTCACAGTTCAACTAAAACAGCAGCTAAGCATGATGGACAGATTAAATGTATGCATTAATTATCACACTTTATAATTATGTATATTGAATTTGGGATGTGAACTAGAAAAAAAAATAGGTGGCCTCCTGTGAAAGCGACAAATGGCATTCCTGTGAAAGTCTGTGACTTGTGAATATCTACAAAATCCAGTAATAACAAATCTGCATTAAGTGCTAATAGGAAAGGCTGATTTTAATTGAATTAGGTACCTTTATAATCTTCACTTAAAAGGTTAAGCTTTGCTTCTATGGAAACATCACACCAGGAAGACATTCACAATGAACAGTAACTGCAGCAAAATGTGCTCTTTTAATTCGTTCTTTCACCCAGTCCCATGTTATTTAACATTTCAGAATAATACCTGTGAAAACATGTTCGCAAACATAATCCTTAATAAATTGCAGTGACCTACTGCAGTGAACCAGCAACTGAACCCGGCCGCGCCTCTCTACTTACAAGCATGGGTTTGTGGTACCGGCAGCTGGTGCCAAAAAACCTCTTTTAGTCATGTGTGATCAAATCAGATCTCTTGTATTTAAAACTTTGAGCACATTCCCAGTATCATGTTGACTGTACTGTACTTTTTGTATTGTCATTGGATTATGGATGCATAATATCTTTTGTTAGGAGCTTGCTTTTTTCTAAGGAAGACGGTATTGTTAAAGAACAACGCCAGGAAAAGCACCGTTTGGTTTACTTACGTGTTCCTTCAAAAGTAATCAAATCATTTTTCAATTTAGCTAATATAATTGTGTGGAATGCCAGCAGCAACCAGAAATCGAGCTTGCAGTGTTCTGTAATCAGAAAGATACTGTACGTGGCACATAGGTTGGCTCAAAGAAAGGAAATAGCCGAAGATGGGTGCCTGAACTCTGTCTGAATTCTGTCCCTGACCATACCAAGGTAATCTTGATACAGCAAACTAAATACAGCCAGGATCCATATTTTTCTACAAATAGTTTGTATCTTGGCCAGAATATACAAACCCAACAATTATGCTCTATGGGGTCACTAGAGCATGGTCCAGGCTACATTCAAATAACCCTTCACTTGCTACAGGCAATATACTAAATCCATAGTTGGCAAGTTCAAGAAGAATTCCATGTATAGTGAATTTTACATAGTTACCGTACTTTGGAACAATGTAATAATGATTATATCATACCTATGGGATCCCTCTAGAACAGGGGTGTCAAACTCCATTTCATTGCAGACCGCATCAGCATTATGGTTGCCCTCAAAGAGCCGGTTGCATCTGTAAGACTAGATGTCCAGAGTACCCCACCCTGCCTCACTTCAGATGTCAAGAGCCCCCCCACCATCAGAAGTCAACTGTCCCCCACCATACCGTACTTCACAGTGCCACCCCCCTTACCTTGTGCTGCTGCCAGAAAGAAGTTGGGGGAGGAGCTGAGAAGCAGAAAGTGCAGGGTCTGGAGGAAGACCACAGGGGGAGACAGACACAAGGGGGTGCTGCAGCTGCACAGAGAGGTGCAGTATCCATATACATGCTGCTCATTTGCCTAGTTCCCTCCTGGGTTCTGGAAGGCTCTCATAGCTTCCTAAAGTCACGCAGAACTCAGAAAAACTCAAACAGCACCAGAGCATCATGAGCAGACCTAACTAATCCATTACAGCACTAATTAAAGTTGAGTTCCACTCAACCTATCAAAAAATAAAAGTCAGCCACTTACCTGTCCCTCGGTCCCGTGGTGTGTCCCCCGTAGCCCGTTTCACTGGCAGTCCTGTATTCCAGGAGGCCGGCATTTTCAGTGTGGACACGTGGCTGTGATAGCTTGCGGCTTCACAGCCAGGTACCCAGTGCGCATACGTGAGTAGCGCTGCACTTCATGAATGGTCCTGTAGTCTTCTGGGACCTGTCACATGTCGCAAAAGACTACAGGGAGGGGGGGAGGACACCTTCCACTTCCGATCACCTAGGCGATCGGACCAGAAGTGGGAGCGGGTACCTGTCAAATTCAGGTACCCACTCACCAAAGGTGCCAATCTTTAATGGGGAGCAGGGGAGCAGTCCTTAAAGTGGAACTTCCCCTTTTGGAGAATGGTTCATGATCGGTCCTGTAGTCTTCTGGGACCTGTCACGTGTCCCAAAAGACTACAGGGAGGGCGGGAGGACACCTTCCGCTTCCGATCGCCTAGGTGATCGGACCAGAAGTGGGAGCGGGTACCTGTCAAATTCAGGTACCCGCTCCCCAAAGGTGCCAATCCTTAATGGGGAGCGGGGGAGCAGTCCTTAAAGCGGAACTTCTCCTTTTGGTTGGAGCTCCGCTTTAAGCAGAAAACCCAATTAGATTTTTCCAACAGTCCCTCTGGTAAGCAGAGAAACACAGCTATACATGTCCTAACTATACAAATCCTAGCAGGGTGTTACAATATTTAGTAAAATAATTACATTTCCATGTTCTGTGTATTGTGGGAGACCAGATATAGTGAATTCAGAGTCCTGGGTTTAGTAACACTTTCATTGTATACTTGGTCACATAGATTTATCTTTAACCAATCAGAATCCACAGCTCACTGTTTTGAGAGCATTATTCATTGCCCGTAGATGGATTGTTCTTAGGTGGACCTCTCCTCGGCCCCCTTATCTTTTTGGATGTATAACAGAACTTGATAATATATATTTTCTATGGAACACATACCTACTATTCTAGGAACTCTATGGGGAAGTTTGAAGCAATATGGTCTAAATCAGGGGCAGGCAACCTTTGAGAGGTGGAAATCTACCTTAACAACATGAAAAAGATCAAAGATCACCGGGTTCAGTACCATTTTAAAAACAAAATTAACTAGCAAGGCCTAAATAAATAGTAAGGAAAATGTAGAAAAATATAATAAAACAAATGTCACTGTAAAAAAACAAACTTAGCCTACCTTAAAATTGGACAGTGTCATTCAGTATGGCAGAGGTTGCTGTCAGTCAGTACAGCAGTAGATGGTGTCAGGAGAGCAGTGGATGGTGTCAGTCAGCAGGGCAGTGGAAGGTGTCAGTAGGGCAGAGGATGGTGTCAGTCAGTAGAGCAGTGGATGGTGTCAGTTGAGCAGTGGACAGTGTCAGCAGGGCAGAGGTTGGTATCAGTCAGTAGAGCAGTGGATGGTGTCAGTAGAGCAGTGGACAGTGTCAGTAGGGCAGAAGTTGGTGTCAGTAAGGCAGTGGATGGTGTCAGTAGTTTTTATTTTTACATTTTTATTTGTTAATATTTTTAACATTTTTTTAGGAGCCTTGTTGAAAGGGGAGCACTTGGGGAAAGGGCCAGGCAGCAGAAAAAAGGAGGAAAAGGATGGGAGGGACAGCGAGAGAGGCGTTTACTAGATCCGATCCCCTGGATTTATCTCCTGCAGCAGCTGTACGCTGGTGGGAGGGCGAGGAGGAGATGCTAGCTTGCAGCTGCTCCAGAAGGACAATAAAGTGGATTGTGGGAAGGCAGGTATTTAAGAAAAATGAACTCCTAGCAAGTGGCTGGGGATTGGGATTGTTCTGCCCCCCCCCCCCCCCCCCAGCTTCTCCAGGTATTTTAAAAAATCTGGACAATAAAGTGGGGGATTGGGATTTTTTTTCTGCCCCCCCACCCTGGTGCCCTAAGGTGGTTGGTAATTAAGATATTTAAAGTACCTGTCCATGGGAGGGAAAGGGGGGGGGGAGAGGGAATTGCTGGTGAGGCAGAGGTCACTGCTATGGGGGAAAAGGGGGGGCTGAGGACACTACTGTGTGGGGGTGATATGAAGGGCAGTAGTGGAAGTGGACACTGCTATGGTGCTAGCCCTGCCCATAGCAGTTTCCTCTGTACATCACCCCCCCCCCTTCCCCCCCCCCCCAGCAATGTCTTCTCCCCCCCTTTCCCCCAACCTCCTCCACTGCTCTTGTCATCCCCAGTGCACAGTGGAGAGCGGAAGGTAGCACTGCTCAGGTGGGAGGAGAAGCTGGCCAAATGAACTTTTCATATTAACAAGCTGGTAATTGATTGCTAGGATCGACCTAGCAACCAATCACCTGCGAGTTAATATGAAAAGTTTTTTTCTTGCAATAATGTATTTTTTTTTAAAAAGGTTTATCCTGCTGCCTCCACTATTTTTTTGTATAGACTGTCTTGAAGTCTGATTGATCCCTGGATGACTGCAATGCTTTTTTGTGTCATAGTAGTGACTGTATTAGCTGTGCATCGAGTAGATGGTGGAAAACATTTCTTTGTAAAAAAAAAAAAAAAAATGAACCTAGCCTTTAAAAACTTGAAATTCTAAACCCTTTTCATCTTTAAGTTTATTTTTACTTTATTTATCACTGTCACTGTACACCCTTCCTTCTAAAACTCGCACTGGAAACCACAGAACTCTATTTTTAGTTCATACTGCACAGGTATCATTGTTAGTAAATAGACTTCACATTAGTCATAGAACAATCCTTTCATGAATCGCGAATAACCATCCTATCCGTACTTATTGTGAAAGAAGAATACAGGAAGTAAGATGGAATTGTAGTTTCCACTTTAGTTTCAACTGATTTAGAAATTGCATATTCAAAATAATGATATAGGAAAGAGGAGTGATAAACAGATGTGTTGTATTTCAAATAAAATGCTTACCTGAAAGTGGAACTTCACTCTCTCAATCAACATGCATTATTTTTAATCTTTATGCTGCCAGCAGTAGTAAATACATAGGAAGGTGAATTAGATTTATATTTCTTCAGATACGTCCTGGTTTTCAGTCCTATGCCAATGATGTCATACATTCCTGGATGTATGACATCAGGATGTAGAAATCCTAGGGAATTACTTTTCAAAGCGATTTCTCAGCAATATAAAGCATGCAGACATGGATGGATGGTAGGGTTACCTCCTCATCCCTTTAAAACCAAATACATATTAATGACACAGGTTCAGGGGCTGATTAAGGTGATAATTAAACTCACTTAAAGCAGAGTTCCACCTAAATAAAAGTCAGCAGCTACAAAAACTGTAGCTGCTGACTTTTAAAATACAGCCACTTACCTGTCCCTCGTTCCTCGCTGTCCTCACAACTGCTGGTTTGACCAGCCGTCTTTTCTCCCTGGCACCGGCATCTTTAGTGTGGGCACCTGACTGTGACAGCTTGTGGCTTCACAGCCGGGTGCCCACAGCACATGCGTGAGAAGCGCTGCCCTTTGTGAAAGGCCCTGTAGTCTTCTGGAACCTGTCACATGTCCCAGAAGACTACGGGGAGGGAGAGGGGGAGGACAACTTCCGCTTCCAATCACCTAGGCGATCGAAGTGGAAGTGGGAGTGGGTACCTGTCAAATTTGGGTACCTTTTGGGTGGAGCTCCACTTTAAAGCCTTATCTGCATTAAATTAGTCTCAGAACCTGTGTAGGTTAATGTGTGTTCGGTTTTAAAGGGATGAGGTGGCAACCATAATGGATGGGTGAGTTTGCTTTGAATGTTAAAAATGAATTAAATGGCGTTTTTATTTTTTTGTGCTCAGGTGTAATATAGTTCCGCCTTAACCTCCCTGGATGTATTCGCAAGTGTAGCTCGGGGTAATGTTTCAGCACCACAAGCGGTAACCCCGAGCTACACTCGGGAATAACTTGCAGTGCTGCTCCGGGATCTCTTCTTCACTTACCTTGTCCTTCGCTCCCACGATGTCCCCCCTGCAGTGTCCCTGGCAATGTCCTCCGGCCGATGCTGGCATCTGTCTTCTGGGTTTTGTTCCCTGCAACGTCAGGACGTACAGGAATGGAACTGGCGGGAAATTTAAAAATTTTAAAAGTGACATTCACTAAATTCACTAAAATCATATAGTAAAACATTACTGTATCAAACCATTTCACATACATTTTGTCCCGAGTGCTTTGTCTGTGCCCTGCCTGCATTTTTACTGTTCTTTCTGCCTGGAAACTGAGAAACGTCCATGGTGTCCAAAAAGTGTCCCTTTAGGTCAAAAGCGGTTTTAGACCAGCTAGAGAACAGCGATAGTAAATCAGAACCACTTGCAGAATTGAGTGATAATGATTCGTGGGGAAATTCGTCATCACACACTGAAAACGATTTTGCGACTTTGCTCAGTGATGTGCGAACTTGGCGCTCTATTTCAAATTTCAGTGTTTTTGGTTTGATTATATTATTGAATTAAATTTATTATTATTATATTATTATTTTTTATGATTATTTATTAAATTGTAATTTTTGATTTCGTGTTTCAAATTTTAACATACCCGGGATGTTTACTAGACTCTTGTTCGGACAGATTTCGGTGAGTTATTCCTAAAAATTACAGGCCTACAATAAAAAAACTACATATTTGCATGCAAAAAAATGTACCGCTTTGAGCACAGAAATATGGACATAATCAGACCGCTAGGGAGGTTAAGTAAAATAAAGAATTAAAAAAATAAAATAAACAAAGTTTGACTTCTACATTATGTCTAGTACATTGGATGGTTCTTCTTCCTTTATCCGTGCACTGGTAGCCCATTCTTGATGAAATGGTTGCCTTAATACAGTACACTTTAACTTGTATGCCGCAGTGCACCTCCATGGAGCCGCATAGTGTAAAGGAGGCCTTAAAGTAACATGAAAGCTTTTTTTTTTTTTTATTAAAATAATAAATGTGTCATATTTACCTGCCCTGTGCAATGGTGTTGCACAAAGCAGCCCCAATCCTTCTTTTATCAGGTCCCCCACTAGCACTTCTGGCTCCTCTTCTGTGGCAGATGCCCCCATAGAAAGCCTCTTTCTATGGTGGCACTCGCTACTGAGCCACCCTGTCTGCGTCCATTGACATGGACTGGGTGACTCGGCCCTGCCCACCTCATCACAGATTTTAATTAACAACAGCAATTAGCACCCACTGCTATCATTGTGCACAGATAAGCATAAAGGGGGGGGGGGGTCTTGGAGGATCCTGCACCACAGAAGGTTTTTTTTTTTACATATAATGCATTAAGGTAAAAAACCTTAAGGCTTTGGGACCTCTTTAATATTTTGATCTTCACTGCTAGAATGCCGGGACAATGAGGACTTAGGTAAGGGGCTTCCCAAAATAGGAATTTCAGATCCTTTAACAAATGTTTAAAATGTTAGCAAATATGTTTTAAAGCAGTTCAGATTTAATCCCTCTCTCTTAGATTGTAAGCTCCAAGGAGCAGGGCCCTCCTATCCCTCTTGTATTGCACTGTATTGTTGTTGTATTGTCTCCCGTTATATTGTAAAGCGCTGAGCAAACTGTTGGTGCTATATAAATCCTGTATAATAATAATAATATATAATTGCACTATATTGAACTTGGAGGACAAGGAAA